AGGTAATTCTGTGTTTCTGGAGGCTGCTACCAGGGCTACCCAGAACTATCCCAAGACCCCAGAAAAAGGTTCTCTTTTACCCCTTACACCAAGGGAATGGCAACAATTCAGTGACAGAGCATCTACGTCATATACAGAAGGTCTCAGGTTCAATCCTTGGCATCTACACTTACAGGATCAAGCAGTAGGGGATGCAGCAGGCCTCTGCTTGAGACCCTGGAGAACCACGACCTGAGTAGACAATACTAACCTTGAGGGACCAGTGGTCTCATTTGGTAAAAGGTGGCTTCATTCAGGCAGGAGCCGTGGCGTTGTGGTAGAACATCAGCCTTGCATGTAGAAGCTTCCCAGTTCAGTCTTTGGCACCACTAGTTAGAGGGATCAGGTAGTGAGTGATGTGAAAGGCCTCGACGGCCAGTCAAAGCATGGACAATCGTTGGACTTAGTATAAGGCAGCTTCACATCTTCAAGGTCTGTTCAGCACCACTAGAGCACCTAAGTCGAATGCTATATGAGGACAAAGCTGCACAACTCACTATTAGCAAGAAGGCCCCCCAAATGAGCAAACTCTATGTGCACTGCATCTGTTTCCCCCGCCATATTCCTCATGTCTAGGGGACCTCCAGGGAGCTCAGGGAACGGTCTTCTCCAATTTATCCTAACGCCAGTCCTGTGAGGTAGTCTAGGCCGAAGTGTAATGACGGACCCACAGCAAGATTCCCCCTCTCCCTTCCCCTTGACAAAATCACACACCATGGGTACTGTGCCCAGTCAGGGTTGCCAGGTCTGGGTTGGAAAATACCTGGAGACTTTGGGGGGTGGATCCAGGAGAGGGGGGGCTTGGAGAGGGGAGGGGCCTCGGCATCGTACAAGGCCGTAGAAGCCACCCTTCAAAGCAGCCATTTTTCTCCAGGGGAGCTGATCTCTGTCAGCTGGAGATCAGTTGTAGAAGCGGGAGATCCCCAGATCCCACCTGGAAGCCGGCAACCCTATGCCCAGTCCTTGGGGTCTCTAGGGCAATCTGCCCCCCGCCCCATTTTCCCCTCTGGCATTATGGATCAATGGCAGCATTTAAGTGTGAAGACACCCCCCCCCCAACATCCACAACCCATGATAGTGGAGGCTGCGTTCTATCTCTTCTGATAAACTATTATGTCTTTCTCTCTCTCTCTCTCTGTGTGTGTGTGTGTGTGTTTACGGTGGGATATGCTTTTTTTTAATGGTGGCGCTGATACAAAAGGCCCCACCCATCCGGTGATCAAACCACTGAGATTTCAGCTATCGGTAACGGAAGGCAAATCAGCAGAGAAAAATCAGGATGATCAAAGGCAACGATTCGAGATTATAGAGAATTATTTTAGGGGGGGGGGCAAGCGGTGGTTGGAATTAGGAGGAACACAATGGTGCTTTTTCTTGTTCCTTCCCTCTCCTTTCTCCTTACTCTCCCGGCGCTGCCAACTTTTATGATATTTCTTCCCTCCTCCCTCTCCTTTCTACTATCTGCCTTTGTGCCTTCAGGGGCAGTGAAAGAAGACTGCCGATTCTAGATTGGTTTTAGAGTTTGCTTTGCTGATGATGGATTACCATGTCAATTTAAACAGCATAGGATTAATTTGTTTCAATGATTTCTCTTTAGGCTGAATGCCAGTTCTTTTCTTTTTCTCTCCCCTCCTCTCTATCTCTCTCCTTGCTCTTCAGAATAAGAATAAAAAAAAAGGAGGGGTGTTTTGGAATATCTCTACCCACTACCCAAACCCTTTCAATATTCCCCCCCTTTTAAGGAGACCATAATAGAACTCGACAAGTTAGGAGTTGGGTTGCCAGCGAGTCTCTGGTTTGCGTGTTTTTTTTATCTCATTCGCAAAGGCCGCAGCCTCCCGTCACTCACATTAAAATGAAATTGGATCCAACATTTATTCAATAAATACTTCTCTTGTAGGTAATCCAGAGCAGAGTGCTTTTGACACATAAGGACTTAATTTGTCTCGGATAAGAAGTTATTAATATGGCACATTTAAGCTTGCCACCTACAATAAGGTCGTTTAGATCTTTTAACGCAATTCAGGGAAAGAAGGGTGCTTGAGGGAAAAGCAAAGTTTGTGAGGCGTTCTTTGGCGGGGGCGTGGGGGGGAGGACAGCAATTAGAGTGGGGGGGGGACAAGGCCCAGATCGCAAAGCTAGGTCTGCACGGTGAATGCTGCTCGCTCTGTGATACCCTGGCTGGCTTTTGGTATAGAATGTTGCTTTGGAACCTCAGTTCCCCATCCATGAAATGGGAACAGCTGTGACCCCAAATTCTGAGAGGACGAACGAGCCCTTTTTATATGTAGAAGGGAATGTTGCCCTTTCTCTAAAATACCATGGGGAAAAATGTGATATTAATTTAATTAATTTAATGTGACGGCCGACAATCTTAAGCAGAGTTAAGTTTATTGAAGCCAACGGGTTTAAAATAGGGTTTCCAGGTCTGAGCTGGGAAATACCTGGAGACTTTGGGGGTGGATCCCAGAGAGGGTGGGGCTTGGGAAGGGGAGGGGCCTCAGCCTGGGACAATGCTATAGAGTCCACCCTTCCAGGCAGCCATTTTCTCCAGGGGAGCTGGAGATCAGTTGTAAAAGCAGGAGATCTCCAGGCCCCACCTGGAGGCTGGCAACCCTATTCTAAAAGGTGTACAACTCCGATTAGGATTGTTCTGCAAATCTCCCAGTCTGCAAAGTCCTATGAAGACCAACCCTAAATAGGTCTACTCAGGACCCTACTCAACTCTGTTCGGTGTGGTTTACTCCCAGGAAAGGGTTCTTACTTAGGATGACACTGCCATTGTTCACCGTTTGGTGAGGGCCATCTCTTTATGGCAAATTATGATTGAGTAAAACTTAATTCTTTCTTTTTCAGCATCCCAAGTGTAAGGAGCAAGTACACGCACGGTGACTTTTAAGTATGCGATCTTAGAAAGGGTTCGGTAAAGGTGGTGGAGGGATAATAGGGAAAAATTCATGGCCTTTATTACTGCCTGCCTGCCTGTTTACTTATATTTATTTATTTTATTTATTATTAAATTTATACCCCGCCCTACCCAGCCATGGCCGGCTCAGGGCAGCTTACAACAAGAATAAAACCATAATAAATAACTTAAACATAAAACAATTCAACATTAAAAAGGTATGAACAGATTGACATTTCAAAGTTAAATTTACATTTAAGTTTAAGATGGCGGTCGGCTTTCATTGTACCATCTTAGTGATCGACCCAGATCTAACATTGTGTAGCTGGCACAGGCTGATCGGGAACATGGTTCTCCCTTGGGGTGGCTCCTAATTGAAAGCCTGGTGGAAGAGCTCCGTCTTGCAGGCCCTGCGGAACTGCACAAGGTCCCACCAGGGCCCTGATCTCCTCCGGGAGCTCATTCCTACCTACCTACCTACCTACCTACCTACATCTATATATCCGTCTATCTATCTATCTATCTATCTATCTATCTATCTATCTATCTATCTATCTATCTATCATCCATCCATCCATCCATCCATCCATCTATCCATCTATCCATTTATCCATCCATCCATCCATCCGTCCATCCGTTCATCCATCCATCCGTCCACCATATTTGCAAGCTTTTCAAGGAGCTTTTTACAACTTATCTCAGCAGTTTTCCAAACAGTCCTTCAAGATCGCTCAGCATGATCATCCCCATATTGGGTTGAGGATTGTACTGGACTGCCTGCTGAATTTATGACAGAAGCAGGATTTGAACTGGTACCTTCCTGATTGACAGTTCTATCTCCTATGGTGCCTTTCTAAGCAGAGTTATACCCTTAATGTTTATTCTCCATTTTTCTCCTCAAAAGGACTCAGCGCATGATAATAATAACAATAATGATGACAACAACAATAATATTAAAAATGTGGAATTAGATAGATTCATGGAAGATAAGACCATCAATGGCTACTAGCCATAGTGACCGAGGGAAACCTCCACATTCAGAGTTACTAAGCCTCTGAATCCCAGAGCCAGGAGGCAACCTCAGGAGAAGGCCCCGGCATTTATGCCCTGTTGTTTTCCCTCTGGAGGAACTGGTTGGCTACTGTGTGAGACAGGATGCTGGACTAGATGGACTACTGGTCTGATCCAGCAGGGCTCTTCTTATGTTATTATGAAGGCCTCGGCGTCTATGACCTGTTGTTGGCTCTCCAGAGGAACTGGTTGGCCACCACGTGAGACAGGATGCTGGACTAGGTGGACTATTGGTCTGAGCCAGATGGGCTCTTCTGATGTTCCTATGAATTTAATAATAACTGCATGCTGTCAAGTCGCAACCAACTCATGGTGACCCCAAGACCATGGGCAGCTTACAAAAACAGGGGGGGAAATCAGTTTAAATAAAACAAAGAAAAAAGCCCATGGACTTCAAATTAACTTAGAAGGGCATAATTCTATGCATGGCGGCACAGTTAACCGCTGAGCTTTGCCAGACTTGGACATCATTAGTAGTACAGATAATGTATTCACGTTTCACGGACAGTGTGATACCATACAAACGTACTTGCCATTTCTGTGGCGTTTTCAGTCTTCAAAGCACTTTATACGTTGTAATCTCGACAACCAGCCTGTACGTTGTAGGCCAATATCATTATTCCTCACAGTGCAAATGGGAGCTGCTCGAGAGGGGATGCATGGTGGCAGACAGGGGTCATTTTGGGGGGGGACGCGGGGGGACGCCATCCCCCCGGGTGAGGTGCGGGAGGGCGGGGCCTGGAGCTCCCTGCTGGTGCCCGCTGGAGGTCGCCGCCGGCTGTGGGGAGGACACACTTCCGGTGATGTCAGGGGGTGTGGCATATGCTAATGAGTTATGCTAATGAGTCCCCCTAGCTCTTTTCCTACGAAATGACCCCTGGTGGCAGATTTCAGATTTGCACCGGGTACCGTTCGGACCACGATTCGTTCTCTTTGCCTCTAAACTGCACCAAGGAGACATTTTTTTTTTAAATGTTTGTTGTAGGAGTTCCGGAGGGGAATGCTGACGGGAGAGGCCCAGGGGCAGATCCGTATATCCTCTAGAGGCAGGAAAACGAGATTCAAAATGTTCAAGAGACCGTTTTCAAAGTCTCCTGGCTAAGGATCTTCCCCACGTAGCAGCAGAACGTGCCCAGACTCCATAGAGACGTATGCAAAAGGTAACGCTTTCATAGGCCTGTGGATGTCTGTATACATGCGGGAAGTGTGTACAGATCGCGTGAATCAAGTCTCTGTGCTCCCTGTATTGACGGACGGAGCATTGGATTTGTACCTTGCAAGGTTAGGTCTGCTCTTCCGCAGAGCAGAAAGGATACTCGGCAAAACAGGTGAGTTGGCGAACTATTCCACAGTGACTGGCATTCCCCCCCTCCCCCGTCTCTCTAGTGGGTGTTCCTTTATGATTTATTTACTTTATTTAAACCTCACATTTTCCCCCAATGGGGACCCAGAGTGGATTACATTGTTCTCCTCGCCTCCATTTTATACTCACAACAACCCTGTGCGGTAGGTCGTTTGTGCTGAGAGTGCAGGCATGATCACACGAGCAGTTTGGCCCGACATAGCCACCCCTCCCCTCCGGATTAAATGGGCACAGTCACACGGCCACGTCCTTCAGGCGTTCCCCCGGCATACTCAGCCCCTCATAGGACAACTCGGAGCCAGGTTAAGAAGGCACCACATCACAAGTAGTGTTTTTGGTTCCTTGCGCATTCTTTGCGCACAGCCGAATGTCTGAACGTGGAGGAGCACATGCAGACTGGATTGGCAGTCTGAACCCGCAGATCTGTTCCCACTGATAGGGTGGTTTTTTGTGTGTGGAGGTTTTGCCTATAGATGCATGAGTGCACTTGCACCTGTGCACACGAGCACATGAGCACATGAGCGTGCACATGAGCACATGAGTGTGCACACGAGTGCATACATACCCACATGCATTTTTTAAAAAAACCCTGACCAGGCAGTGCACTCCATTGCTGGGACGCTGCAGTAATGTGGGTGCTTGACCACAGGATGTCCGCATGGGTAACCTGCAGCAGGGTGTGCTGTCTGGATGATACGCCCCCAACACTTTAAACCAGTACAATTAGAAGTGGTGCCATATTGTGCCAAGCCACCAGTGTGACCACACCCTGTGTTCCTGCTCAAAGTCACCCGCTGAGATCCCATGGCAAAATGGAGATTTGCACCTGGGCCACCCAGATCTCGCTCCCGACATTCTCACCACTACTCTGTGCTGGCTCCGCTGTGGATACAGACGCAGAAGAGGCACAGACGCCAAAGCCGCTGGGGGCCAGCTTCCAAAGGATGTGACCCAGTCGCTGTTCCATGTTCCGATTCCACGCTAACGAATGGAGACTCAAAACGACCCCATTTAAATTCTGAGGCTTCTTTGGCAAAACACACACACAGCCATTTTGCATCCATCTTGTTTGCCCACCTCAAAGATCCCGGGGCATAATCCGTCTTTAAATATGATTGGTCTAATTTGACGGAGCAATATTTGTTCACGCCTTGGAAGCTAATATAAAGACAACAAGGAAGGGTGGGAGTCCCCTGAGCGCTATGGGGGTGATTGGTGCAGCTGCATTAACCTCCAGTTGCGTCTTGTAGCGGAGTTGGAGAGCGGGACTCAAGTGGAATTTGCCAGATGTGTACTTTTTTTTTTAAAGAAAAGGATTTGAATTCTCAGCACTCATCTGAACCAAGGGGACATGAGAGAGGTTCATAAAATTACACATGGGATAGACCAACTGGAAAAGAGAGAGTTTTTCCTCTCTGTCCCATAGTACTAGAAATATGGGAGCACTCAATGAAGTTAAAGGCAATAGATTCAGGAGACACAAGGAAACACTTCTTCCCTCACTGAGTCATTAAATGGCAGGATGTATGTAGTGGCTCAAGTGGTTAAGACGCTGAACTGCAGGCTGTGGAAGTTCAGTAGTTCAGCAGTTCGAGACCCGGGTGTGCTGCATGATGGACTGAGCTCCCGTCTCTAGTTCCAGCTCCTGCCAACCTAGCAGTTCGAAACAAAGAAATTGCAAGTAGATAAATAGGTACCACTTTGGTGGGAAGGTAACAGTGTTCCGTGCGCCTTGGTGTTTAGTCATGCTGGCCACATGACCACGGAAATGTCTTCGGACAGCGCTGGCTCTTCGGCTTTGAAACGGAGATGAGCACTGCAACCCTAGAGTCGGACGCGACTGGCTTTCGAGCAAGGGAACCTTTACCTTTACCTTTTATGTAGTGATAGCCACAAGCATAGGTGGCTTCAAAAGGGGGTTAGAGGGGTTAAGGGTGGGGAGATCCTTCAGTGGTGAGATCCGATCCATGGTGAGTAAAGAGAACCTCTGTGCTAGGAAGCCACATTGGAGGAGGAGGAGAGATTGGATTTATACCCCGCCCTTCACTATCCGAAGGAGTCTCAGAGCAGTTTACAATCTCCTTTCCCTTTCTCTCCCCACAACAGGTGGCCTGAGAGGTAGGTGGGGCTGAGAGAGCTCTCTCAAGAACTGCCCTTGAGAGAACAGCACTGAAAGAACTCAGGACGGACCCAAGGTCACACCAGCAGCGGTATGTGTAGGAGTGGGGAATCAAACCTGGTTCTCCCAGATCAGAGTCCGCACTCCTAACCATTACACCAAACCTTGGCCTCTATGCCCCTCTTGTTGCATCTCCAGGACAACTGGTTGGCCACTGTCTGAAACAGGATGCTGGACTAGATGGGCCACTAGACTGATCCAGCTGGGCTTTTCATATGTTTTTTATGTTCATATCCTACTAGTCAACTTTGGGGTTCCAGATAACTTGTTTTTAGAGATCACATCTACAAGACCTTTTCCTCCATCCTTAAAAATGAGTCCTGAGATTGGAGCTGCCACTCAGTTGAAACGGAGAAACTGTACCAAGATCAGTGTTCCCTCTAAGCTGAGTTATAGTGAGCTAGCTCACAGTTTTGTAGCCTCCGGCTCACACAGTTTTGTCTTAGCTCAGGAAGGGAGGGCTCCAGAGCAAACTAATTTATGCGGCGGCCAAATGGCTCACTCACAACTTTAATGCCAGGAGCTCACAAAGTAGAATTTTTGCTCACGAGACACCACAGCTTAGAGGGAACATTGACCATGATTGTCCATATCAGCATGGTGTAGCAGTTAGGGTGCTGGATTAGGATCCGGGAGAGTCCGGTTTGTGTCCCCATTCTGCCCTGGGGGCTCACTGGGTGTCTCTTGGGCCCCTCCTTCGCTCTCACCCGAATCTAACTAACAGGACCGTTGTTGTGAGAATAAAATAGAGAAGGGGGAAATGAGGTTGTAAATGGCTATGGGCTCCCATTGGGGAGAAAAGCAAGGCACCGACCATTTGCCTAAACAAGTACGTACATACTAACATTCCATGTGGCATTTCAGTAGCTCAAGAAAGTGCCCTGAAGTCACGGCTGACATGGTGACCCTGTAGGGTTTTCAGGGCAAGAGACATTCAGAGGTGGTTTGCCATGGCCTGCCTCTGTGTAGTGACCCTGATATTTCTTGGTGGCTGTTTCTTCTTCTTCTTCTTCTTCTTCTTCTTCTTCTTCTTCTTCTTCTTCTTCTTCTTCTTCTTCTTCTTCTTCTTCTTCTTCTTCTTCTTCTTCTTCTTCTTCTT